GTATGTATGTATGTATGTATGTATGTATGTATGTATGTATGTATGTATGTATGGACTATATATTGTTAGTATAGTATGTATGTAATAATAATATATATATACTACACACACACACACACACACACACACACACACATATATATATATATATATACACATACAAGTCATTATATCAACCAAGATACCTGCTTGCTCATTTACTTTAAGGAGGAAACCTGTTATCCACCAAATAATCCACAGCGCAGGATTTCTTCCCACGTATTGATATCAGTAGAATAGTTCACAGAATGTATCGTTTGAAGACCAATCTTCTATCCTCCTACAAGCGGTGCTGGTGCGTTCCATTAAAGGTTTCAAACTACCCAAGATTTTGATACATGCACGATTTTTAGTCACTTTTAAGCTCGAATAGATGCCGTACAATTGTGAAATTAATAAAAGAATTAAATGCTGGATATATAATACAGATTTGATGAATACATACAACAATAAAATGATTGACAAAAGTATATATGCATAATATTTATAAGTTGAAATCTTTGTATTCTGTTTAATGTATTGTAAAATGTGATTTTTTTTTTACAGGCTATTGTAGGCTTATGTAGCAAAGAATTATCGACTACTACAGTTATGGCAAAACATGCATGATATATATTTATCAGCTGTTTAAGTTGTTTACTAAGCATATTGAGATGAAACTTAAGTAAAAATAAAGTATTGTGATCATATCTTGAATAGATAATAAAAACTGTATATTATTAACCAATACCACTACAGCACTCTGATTTCTCATACATGAGAAGCAAAATTACTGCATAATGACATATCAGCCAATATATAATCAATTCATACATGCACATAAATTACTTTACATATGAACGGATGCTACATGCCAAACGTCCAGATGAATTCCAAGGATGCAAAAATGCAAAACTATAATGAGAATAAAGATTAAAATGAGCAGAGGGGATCTCTAAGGAACTAAACTAATGAGCCAGCAAGCGTTAATTGAGTCCTGATTTTATTGGGACTGACTCATTTATATAGGCAGCTCATCAAAATTCATATTTCAAAAAATCAAATTGATAATACTCTCAAAATTATTGGCATAATTAATATGTATGTTAATAAAGCTATTTGCTTTTGATCTTACTCTCTAATTCGTTGTAGTTGCAAAAAATTTTTGATGGGTGCCGTGACAAACTGATGAAGACAGGTACCATCCATGATGATGAATCAATGATGTGAAATTTAATTGATGGTATAGACTTAGTCGCTATCCTCAGAAGTATTTGAGTTTCTTGAATGAAATAGGAGCTAACGACAGCATAACAGCTGCCGAACGAATTGTATTTTCCATTGCATACTGCTAAACTCATAACGATTTATAGTTGACATCGCGAGCTGAGTAGACGACCCGTCGATTTGCTTTTCTTGAGAAATGATGCCGAGAGATTAGATTTGTGTTTCGTCGCGTTTAGCTTTCCTGAAGATTAAATATGAACTGATGAAATGATCAATTTCGCCCTTTCACCCACCCATGTATTCATCTATTCACCTACCTGTCTGAATAGCCTAGTCTTCCTAGCCTATGCCTTCTCGTACAAATCCAAATAGCGTTAAGTACCAATGGATACTAATCCTTGCCGCTCCGTCGATCGTCAATGTCAGTCTTGTCAGTCTTGTCAGTCTGATTGACACGATACCTTTGAAATGACAAGACGAAAGCCTGAGCACGCATGCGCGAGACTTTGCATTTCCAGCTCCTGCGCATAGAATACAATAACGAAGAACAAAAAAATAAGAATGCAATTTCATATATGTACATACATACATACGTAAAAAGTGGAATAGAAAAGAAACAGACGGAGACAAAGCTAATCGTTTTATTCATAAAGTGAGATATAGTGGAATGTGTGGGAAGTGGGTTATCGATTGGTGACAATTTATTAAGAAAATATCACAAAACTGCCGCCATCATCCGCCATCAGTAGCTATTAATGTAATGCATCAGTAGTAATTTTGTCATTTCGTCAACTCTGTCGGTATACTATCCAGTATTGAAAGTTCAAGCATCTTGATTTCATTGATCAAAAAAAAAAAAAACTGATAACAAAAATTTATTCTTCCTTATTTATTCTCAAGTATAATCAAATGTTATTCCATTATTAATTTTTCATATCACAAAATAGTTGAATGTCCTTTAAGACAACGTTCACTGGCTAGATTAAACTGGATTGAACCAGAATAACTGGATTCAACTAAATGAAGCGGCTGAATAGCCGACACGTTATAGATTCGAATCTGAGTCTCATCCTCTTTTAATTCTAATTGGAGTCGACTATTACTGTCAACTATTACTTAATTTGCAATTGTTTACAAAATTTGTAGCTGCACGATGAAAAGCATTTTTATTCTGTGCACATATTACTTGAATAAAAATGAAAAATTAAGTTATAAATAAAATAATGATTTAAAATTCAAATAAAAACCAAATGGAGAAAAAATAATAGGTTACAAACTGTATCAGTTGTTTAATGTTATCATTTTTTCACTTTATATTGATTCGTAACCTGTTATTTTTTCTTCAAAAGTCATAAAATTTTTAACAAAAACACGCGAATCTCGATAATCGGATATTACTGAGATATGATATTACAATTTATATAATTATCGATCGATATTACATGTAAAAATTATTCTTCCTGTCAATCAAATCCTGTGAAATAACTCCACATTTATATGAAAATATGTAAAATAAATTTCTACGATGAAAATTATTTTGTACAATATTTAAATTCAACACGATATTAATTAATGAATGTGTTGTACTCGTACAAGATTAGAAAAGAAAAACCTATTTTTATCTTTTTTCTAATCGCATCTCGCTTCGTTTTCTATAACATCTGAAAACAGTGTAGTACGCAACTGGAAAAAAAGAAAAATTAATATGTAGATATATATATATATATATACATCGGCTAATAAATGATCTACGATACATGATGTATGCAATAACTTACATTTTCCTTGTCATTATTCTGACACTGTTCTGAATCACAGTTACAATTGTTGCAGGTAACGCCATTCTTGCGACATGTACATAGCCGCGTAGCACATTTCGTTTTGCAAGCACACCTTATTGAGCTCTCATTCGATTCCATTTTAAAAGTCAGTCGTTGAAACGAAAGTTTTGATTTGTTCTAAACCAAAAAAAGAATTGTTAAATGATACTTAATAAATTTGTGTGATTAAAATACAGCCCGCAACATATACAAAATTACCTGTAATTTTTGTATGCGATTATAAAGCGGTGTTTTTTTCCAATCTGGATCTTTATCTACATCATCCTCTATCACGAGACTATCATCATGCGACAGATAGGCATTCTCGTCGATATCTATTTTACTTTCCATTTTTCTTCTTTTAGACCACGACTTTTTATTCTCATTATTTAAATTATTCTCTGTCAAAACCTAAAATATATATCATTCTGTTTTTATACGCATCATTCTGCTTCTATATGCAAAATAATGGAAATAATATGATTTGTAATAAATCACGAATTATGTTGTTTCTAATGTTATTTACCATTCTCTTTACTTAAATACCTGTTCATTTGACTTTGTCAAAGTTTCAATATCGCTAGAAGACGTACGAGACATTTTATTCTCTTTCTCCTGCTTTTTATACTGTTCTAGTTGCACTTCTAGATTCTGATATTTCTCCTTAAATGTAAATTATTTTTGTAATTAATTCAAGTTTGCGCAAGCGTTATAATAATACATGTATTTATATACTAACTTTCAACTCGTTATACTTATAACATTGTTGCTTCCTGTCTTGTGCGACTATATGAAAAGCCATTTCAAATGCCACTTTCGCGTCCGCTACTGTACGTATTATATTCCATCTTGTATTCACTCTAGTCTCTAAAGAAAAAAAATTTAATGACAAAATGTCCTCATGCTCGCGCTATTTTCATGTCCGATAAAAATGCTATATAATATTAAAAATCTCACCTTGATCCGATTCGAGAATCTTTTGTTGGAGATCTGAAATTTGTGCGTTACGCAATTCTACAAATTCCGTAATAGTCACAATCTCTTCTTCATTTGGATCACTATGTTTTTTAAGTTGTTCCAATTGACGTACCCATGAAGCTCTATCTTGCATCAATTTCTCAAGAGAATAACTCGCTTCTACGGTGGCCATTAACACTTCCAGCTCTTGAGCCATCCAAGTTTTTATCTCCTCTTTGCTATTAGCTTTCTTTTCTTGTCGTTGTGTCGCCTTTCTCTGCAGCTCTAGTGCACCCTGTGAATTAATAAATAAATATAAATTGCTTAAATTATCTAAATAGTCAAATAGTCCACGATGTAATTATAAACAAGTAGACGTGAAAGTCGTGTGCTCTGTGAATAAGTGCTTGTGGCTCTGTGAATAAGCGCAAGACTCATAAGTCAGAGATCCCGGGTTCAAATCTCGATCCCGATCGACAAATATTTATAAGCGACTCTCCTCTACGGAGATCTGGCAAACTGCTTAGAGTAACTCTGCCAAAAGAAATTCCTATATTAAGCCGTTCGGAATCGGCATAAAATTGTAGATTACGTACTAATAACATGTGCACCACGAATGTACGCAAGAATACCCGGAAAGCGATGCCAAAAAACCGGTTTTTTTATATAAAAATAAGTAGACGACTTACTTAAATAGATTATGAATGCCAGAGAGAAATGTACCTTTAATCGTTTATTAACTGCGAAAGCCTCCTCCATTTTTCTCTTAAAGACATTTTCCTGTTTGTTATGCTCCATTTTCATACGTACTATTTCATAAGCACGTTTACGATCTTGACTTCTCAATCTATTGATTTCTTTCTCCTTGGAGTGTTTCCATTTCGTAAAATTACTAGCATCATTGCGCATCTGTCTGATTAACTTGACTCGAGTTTCTTTTAGCAGTTGTATCTCACCAGAAAGAGTCTTGATTTTTTGATCCTGCTTTTCTTTCATCTTGATAATCTTATTTTGTTCCATGCACTTACGAGTCAATTCCGTTATCTTTTTTTCCAATTCTTGCACTTTTTTGCGACGCGTTTCAGCCAGTCTGTGTAACAAATATTCAAATAAAATAAAAAATAAAAAATTCAAGTCACATCTATTGTATTATAACCTACTTGGAGCTGATGTTATGTGCATGTACTGCTTGTAAATGTTCCTCTTTTTCCGCATGCAGTCGTTTGATTTCTTGTTCCATTTCCGCAATATCTCTATTCTCCACGGTATTTTGCACGCTTTTCATGAGTTCCGAGACAAGACTTTCTTTGAGTGCCAATTCCTTATTAATATTTTGAACCTCATTATTTCGCTCCGCTTGCCGTAATGTGTGTTCTTCCTCTTTTTTGTCAAAATAATCCAAACTATCTTCGACATTGTTTGATTCTTCTGAATGTACATGTTGTACATCTTCTTCCATGTTTGCCGAACAATTTTTTGAATTAGATATTTCGTGATTTATAAGTTCCTCGGACACTTTTATCTCGTCAATTTGGATATCTAAAAGCATGAAATATCGCACGAGATGAACAGGTTGAGAGAAATTTACGAATAGTATATGTCTGAAATTATCGTTAATTATATATCGTAAGGGGATGACGCGGATAACTTAATAGTCAATTAGTTATTAGCGGATTCAAATCCAATTCTTATTCTATGTATTTGAAAACAAGCGAGGAGTTACGGAGGAACTTTTTAGATGAGGGCTTAATCCCATTCGCTATTTCGTAACAATTATTAACTATTAACACAAAATTGACACGAATAACTCACCTACTATTTTTTTATATATTGCTTTTAATTTGTTACGCTTTTCGTCACTGATTTCAGAACAAGCATCAAAATCTTCTAAAACTAATTGAAATTCATTCAGTAATAATGTCATAGCAGTTCTGATTTTTTCTCGAGCTTGTTGAATCATCTCCGCTCGTTCGTGCATAATTGCAATTTCTTCTAAATTCGAATTTAACTTCTCGGTCATATCTCTTAACTTTTGCTGTAACATGCTATATTTTTCCTCAAGTTGTTCATGTTCCTTGGAACACGTCACACCGAGTTCCTGATTTGCAAGAGCTAGTCGCAGTTCTTGAACCAATTTGTTCAACCGATTGATCTCTGCTACTTTTGGATCTTGATTTACGATTGGCTTATTCTTGATTTTGCGCGCGCGATCTGCATATCTCAATGTACTAAGAGTTTCATCCAAGTTGTAATCTACAAACATATTTTTCATAGTGAGAAACGTTAAAATAATATAATTATTTTACAAACAAGTTTCTGTTAAACAGAAGAGAAAATACCAACCAGCAGGGCTGACACAGGCGACCATAAGAGTCATAGAATTGCCACCTAGAGAATCCTGTAACAATCTCGTAAGTTTACTGTCTCTATATCCAATGTAAGTTCCAGAAGCACCTTCACCGAGCTGTGAAATTACATTTCCCAGAGCCAATAATCCCTTGTTTATATTTACACCCTCTTTAAATCGTTCCCCAGTGGCTTGAGTCTTTTTACTACGTTCGGATCCCGCCAAATCAACCAGATGAAATTTTGCCACAGTTGCTGTATTTCTGCTTGAAAAATTTATTTCCATTATATATTTGATGATGTGTAATAAAAAACAGCAAAGGAATTCTGAGGATTACTCACGGGTCATCTCGTTTTTGTTGTCGTATACATAATGTAAATATCGCATGACTTCGACTACTATGAGCATTCATTGCAGTTGCCCCTGTTACACGACCCATGGAGCCTTGGACCAAGCATTCCAGCGTTTCTTCAGCGTTTGTAACTTCTTTTTCGGTTATACCAACAATTTTTATGCTTTTTCCATCCTCTCTGATATCTACAATAGATTGACTTTTCTGCTTATCAGATAAGAGATCATACAGTTGTTCCTGATATAATTCCATGAATGAAACTGCAACTTTAAAACTCCAGTCTTCTTTAGACTTAATAATTTCAAATATATCGTCAATAACTCTGGGTATAATACCCTTCTCTCCAACACCTGTATAAGTGGTACCCATAGAATGGGTTTTGCCACTTCCCGTTTGTCCATAAGCCAATATCGTAACATTATAGCCTGATAAGAAAATGGTTATTAATTTTTATAATGGCACATGATATACGACATTCAAAAAATATATTGATTAGTACTAATAAAAATTAAAAAATATAATATACTAGTTTTAGTAAAATAAATATTTACCTTGAAAAATATTATCCAATAATTGTCTAATTGCTGTATTATAAAAATCTTCCTGTCCAATGTGAGGAGGAAATACATAATTATATGTGAATGCCTTATCAGAATTGCATACACGAACTTGTGGTTCTCCAGGTATCGCATCTAAGCACAATTGACATCCTTTTTCTAGCTCGCTTTCCACTAATGGACGAATGCGTAGGGCGACACGAACACTATCATCACACATCTGTAATAATAATATTGAATGATCGAATAATGTTTAATCGAATAGATTTAATATCTCTCATATGATTTTTAAATTTTTGTCACGAGAGAGAGAGAGATTTCGTAAAACTTTCAAAAATGTTAAAAAAAAAAAAAAACAAATCACCTTACGACAGAAAAACATACATCTTATTTTTCGAAAAGAATCTTTTAAACACGAAAATTACAGACGAAAGAAAAAACTAAAGCTGTATCAATGATCTGTATCAATTGGCATGTAATTTTATCAAAGAATTCATTATACTTACTTTTGAAACACTTTCTCAACACAAAGATCTACAGCGGAATGATATAGAATAGAACGTATTGAAAAAAAGTTTCAACTATTGATCACTGTTGACACAAGCATAGCGGGTAAGCGATCGAGTGCAGACACCAACAGACCCAGAAGACGTTAAATTTCAAAGGATTTTAAATTTATTTCAGGTTCCGAAGGAGGGATACGTAACTAAGGAAACGATCATTCCCAGCCAATCCAGATGAGAGAGATTCGCTAGCGTCCAATGCTCGAAATCTGACAATTTTGATATCCAATTGCAGGTGTAGGAATCCTCTAGGAACTTTGATTATCCAAAATTGTCCACGATAGGAACATTTTTGTCGCTAGATATTTTTTCTCACGTGAAAGGAAGAATAAACGGGAGAATGAAAATTTTTACTCCTCATGAAATTTCGTACGCGCTTACTGCTGATAAATGTAACTTTTTTGTATTAAAAAAATTAGATACTACTAATGACGGAAAACGGATGCGGTTACGTTTATCGTGATGTAGACGTGGATGTAGACCAAGGTAGAGAAAAATGTATACATATTTTTCGCATCCATTCTTTCATGTCCTATGTATACATTTTTTTTATCTCTATGTGCACATCTGTGATAAACGTAAGCGTTTAGTTTTCCGTTAATAACCTAAATACAATAATTATACGTCCTTATTCCAAAGGGTAGTCCTTTATCTCAGGTAGCTGCTTTTTAGATTTTATTTTCTCCAAATCAATTTTACTTGTTTTAACCTTTTATTTATTCTTTATTTTACGACAAATTCTTTTTTAATTAGCATTTTTAATGTCTAATGTCGTATTAATGAGTAAATTTTTAAAATAAAAAAAATATATATGTACGTATAAATTTATTGTAATAATGTATAAATTTCTTGTATTATATTTCTATTTTTTTTAATTAAAATTATTCAGATTAAATTCATTTTCTTATTTTTTTTGCAACTCTTTTTTTGCCTTTTTCCAAATTCAAATAAAGAATTTGTTTCAACACAGTCGGATCAATTTCAAATTATCAGGAAGCTGTACAGTATCTCATTTTGATATGCTACATAAGAAAATTTCGCAATGCAGAGATTTTTAATAGTTACAAACTGATTTGGAAACATGTAGAAAAAAAGCTCTAAAATTTTCAGATTTGTCTCTTGTGTGATCGAAGAAAATATGTAAGAATGAGATATATGTGAATGAGATATATATATGAATGAGATATAACATGCTACACATTTCATCGTCAGCAAATATTAATTTCATTGCAAATATTTTTTCTATTTATATTTACTATCGTTTGTGACTATGACAAAGATTTATACTTTTCTGTTCAACACTCGTACAGTATGTGCAATATGTTCTATAAAGTTATTGTTAACACGTGTCACGTTAAATATTCGAATATAGTCAACTTAGAAAAAAATGCAATTTTTTTATGTAATTGAAGATTTAAAAAGAGAGTAGAGAAAAGTAAATAAATATAGAAAAGATCTTTTTTTCAAATCTTTTTATAAACATTTTTATTAACGATATTGTTATTAACAAATCGTAAAAAAGTTCTGATAAAAGTATGAATCATTGTTTTATCAGAAATAAAGATCCTACTCAACATTTATTCTGTGATTGGAAAGAATTGAATACTTCTGAGGAATACGAAATTATGAAATCCTACACCACAAATAGCAGACGATTCACTTTGACATACTGATGGATACTGAGGTGAGATGGATAATGAATGTGATCTGATCTATATATCAATTATATCTTTCTATTTTCACAAGTCGCATTGTACGTTGCAACATATTGCTTCTCAGCAACGTTAATATTTTTGTTAATGTCTCTCATACCATAAATGCTCGATATCATATTGCCTCCAAATGAGTCTCTGCCTATATTACCACCATATCAAGAATATTATTTTATGGATATTCGAGAACATTTCTTTCAAATATTCTGGCACGGTGTTCTGGCTTGGAAAATCGTTATAGTTGGTGTAATCACTCATGATTGCCTCTTTGTTACTTACGTTGAGCATGCCTGCAGCATATTTGCTGTAATCGAGTAAGATAATTATTTCTGACATACGTATCTCAACAGAAAAATTAAAAACAGTCACTCAACATTATACCCTTGCAATGTATTTGGAATTCAATAAATCAATATTGTGCAATTATTTGTAGACTTCGTTATTTCATGATGATGGAGAAAAGATGGAAATTGTAAATTTTCTTGATATGCAAGAGAGTTGCGCTTCTCGTGCATAAACACCGCGAATCTTTACAGTGAGTGCACGATATGCAAAACGAAATGTGACGTGTACAGTTCAATGTAAACGAATGAATCCAGAAATCCTTCAACAACCGTTCGATAATTTTTTTTTACATTTTTCTGTCACAGGTACATGCAATTTCTCGAAAGTATATTTATCGGACTATTCGCTGTGCAGATATTGATGGCAACGATAGGGATGAGCACTAGTTTATTACAAGTATGTCCAACAATTCTTAAAAATTCTGATGAATTTTATAAAGAAATAAAAGGTTATATTTTTTCTGCTGGAGATTACACAGGATAGTAGCGATATCTTGGAATCAAGGTATGTGTTCTACGTAATTGGTCAAATCAATTGATTCACTTGTTCTTTCTTAGTTCTTTTTGAGAGACAAAGGTTGATAGATCATAGTCTTCAGATATGCGACAAGATGTAAGACGGCATTACTTTCGATATAAAATAAAAAGAAAAAAACACTTGATTTTATATATATATATATATAAAAAGCACTCTATTGATTGATACGTTCATTCCGGAAGGTAATTACTTCTCGGTGGGTTGCCGCTTTCCGAGAAGAGACGAGCGTAAATATTTTGTCTCTGCCGAGAATCCCGGAACTTCTAGCATAGTAGATCAGTGTGCTGTCTACTATGCCACGCTCGCTCAGTTATCTGTTAGTTAATATTTATTTATTTAATAAAACTTAATGTAACTTATAAATATTAATAACTCAAATAAATAAATAATTATATTAACTAGTTATCTATTATTATTATTATTATTATTATTAATTAAATAATTATATTAACTAGTTATCTATTAGTTAATAAATTGTAGGTTCCTGTGTATAATTATTGTGCGCACCACCAGGTATATGAGAGAGATTACCACGCTCGAATACGAACAATGAGACTGAAGACGACTATTATGAGCATTCACTGTAGTCACCCTGCACAACTCATGCCTTAGATCAAATATTCTAATGATTCTTGAACGTCTGTATCTTCTCTTTTGGTTATACCAACAATTTTTATGCTTTTTCCATCCTGATATCTACAATGGATTGACTTTTCTGTTTGTCAGATAAAAGATCATACAGTTGTTCCTGATACAATTCTATAAATGAAATTGCAATTTTAAAACTCCAATTTTTTTAGACTTAATAATTTCAAATATATTGTCTACAATTCTATAATAATCTTCTCTCCAATATCTGTATAAGTGGTATACCCATGGAAAGGGTTTTGCTACTTCCCGTTTATCCGTAGGCCAATATCGTAATATTATAGTTTGATAAAAAAATATGGTTATTAATTTTTACAATGGCACATGATATGTGATATTTAAAAGATATAATATACTAGTTTTAGTACTAATAAAAATTAAAAAATATAATATGCTAGTTTTAGTACTAATAAAGCATTTACCTTGAAAAATATTATCCAGCAATTGTTTAATAGTTGTGTTATAAAAATCCTCCTGTCATGTAAGGAGAGAATACATAATTATATCTGAATGCCTTCTCAGAATTACATACAAAAACTTGTATTCTCCAGATATCGCATCTAAATACATCTGACATTTTTATTTAGCTAACTTTCCACTAGTGAACGAATGCGTAGGGCGACACGAACACTATCATCACACATCTGTAATAATGAATAATCGAATAATATTTAATCGAATAGATTTAATATCTCTCATATGAATTTTAGGCTTTGCACTAGAGAGAGGGAGATTTTTTAAACTTTTAAAATGTTAAAAAAAACGAATCAGTCTCATCACATTTCACCATCAGTAAATATTAATTTCGCAAATATTTTTTCTGATCGATATGCGGAAAGAACTTGAAAAACGGCTCGTCAGGAAAACTTGACTGCTCTCTCTACCTTATACTTATAATGTCAGAGGAATAAATGTTACCTATGTCTATCGAATGTATATCAATTATTGAGGGAGAGATGACAAACATGCAAAATTTTTAGTAAGGGCTATACATGAATGACAGTAGTTTTATCAGAGAGAAATGCGAATATAGATAGTTGCCTCCTAACTTGTTTCTTTATAGCAAAGAGTACGACTAGTAGTAGTCGAAAATTTAGAATTGGTTGACGGCGGAGCGTAGGTTTTGTCTAAGAATTATGGAGATTATTTCCAATCATTATTATGATCTTATTTACAAGCTATCGTCTCTTACCGGTATGTGGCCGTATCTGAAATTAAAAACCAAAGTGTTTCGTATTGCTTTACTAACTATCATATTATTAACTATACTCGTACCACAGGTGAATCGACTTAACGTAATCACAAATCATAAAGAGAGATTATTACTATATTAATTGATATCTTCTTTCAGATAGCGTATCAATTTAATAATCAATGCAATAAAAATTTGCATTGCACTTTTCAGGCAATGACAGCATATTTACTATCGATTGTGGCTATGGTGAAGATTTACACTTTTCTGTTCAACACTCGTACAGTATGTTTTATAGAGTTATTAACATGTTACGTTAAATATTCAAATATAATCAACTTAAAAAAATGCAATTTAATTGAAAATTTAAAAAAAAGAGTAAAAATATAGAAAAGATCTTTCTTTTTTTATATATAATTTTATAAACATTTTCATTAACGATACTATTATTGACGAATCGTAAAGAAAGTACTGATAAAAAAGTATGAGTCATTGCTTTACCAGATAAAAGATCTCACTCAACATTTGTTCTGTGATTGGAAAGAATTAAATACTTCTGAGGAATACAAAATTATGAAATCCTACGCCACAAATAGCAGACGATTCACTTTGATATATAGTGGTGAGATGAGATGGATGATGAATATGATTTGATCTATACATCAATTATATCTTTCTATTTTCACAAGTCGCACTGTATGTTGCAGTATATTGCTTCTCAGCAATGTTAATATTTTTATTAATGTCTCTTATACCATATACGCTCGATATCATATTGCCTCTAAATGAATCTCGGCCCATATTACTGCCATATCGAGGATACTATTTTGTGGACATTCGAGAATATTTCTTTCAAATATTGTGGCATGCCGTTGTGGCTTGGGAAGTCGTTATAGCTGGTGTAGTTACTCACGACTGCCTCTTCGTTACTTACGTTGAGCATGTCTGTAGCATATTTGCTGTAATCGGGTAAGATAATTATTTCTGACATACGTATCTCAACAGAAAAATTAAAAACAATCACTCAACATTATACCCTTGCAATGTACTTGGAATTCAATAAAATCAACATTGTGCAATTATTTGTAGACTTCGTTACGAACATTTATTTCATGATGATGATGGAGGAAAGATGGAAATTGTAAATATTCTTGATAATATACATTGCAAGAAAGTTGCGCTTCTCGTACATAAACACCGCGAAGCTTTACAGTGAGTGCACAATGTATAAAACGAAATGTATAATTTAATATAAACGAATGAAATCAGAAATACTTCAACAACCCTTCGATAATTTTTTTTTTACATTTATCTGTCGCAGGTATGCGCAACTTCTCGAAAGTATATTTACCGGACCATTCGCTGTGCAGATATTGATAGTAACGATAGGAATGAGCATTTCCTTGTTACAAGTATGTCTAACAATTTTTATAAATTCTAATGAATTTCAATTTGTAAAGAAATAAAATGTTATATTTTTTCTGCTGGAGATTACACAGGATAATAGTGATATCTTGGAATCAACGAGGTACGTGTTCTATGTAATTGGTCAATTGATTCACTTGTTCTTTCTTAGTTTCGAGGGGCAAAGGCTGATAGATCATAGTCTTCAGATATGCGACAAGATGTAAGACGGCATCACTTTCGATACACCTAAATAAAGGAAAAAAAGAAAAACATTGAATTTATATATATAAACATATTACCTCTAGGTATTACCTCTTAGTAATTCATGTATGTTTAAAATCTCATAGATATAACAGTTTTTGGTACAAAACATCCATGAAGTTACAAAAGATAGCTATGATGGTAATGATGAAAAGTGTTTATCCAAGCTTTTTAAGCGCTGGCAAAGTTTATATTTTTTCTCTGGAGAGCTTCTCTATGGTAAAACATGGATTATGTATATCACTAAAGTCATTTCAAAGTTTCTTTAAATGGCATGTATTTTTTTTTAAAGGTTCTACAAACTTCAATGTCATACTTTACGGTACTCGCGTCTTTTCAGTAGTTTATGCATCTAGGTAACTTCCTGTATGTACAGCGATTAAGCGACGATCGAAAATAATAACATTGTCTCTATGCTTTTATTATAATAATATATCTTTGTTAATCGTATATGTAATATATGTAATATATATATAATCTGTATACCTGTAGTTTATATTAAGTTTATGCCGGCCTAATTGTAAAGGTAAGAATATCATTGTTGGACCATTGATTTAACTTCCCGAATGAAAGGTTTCTTTCCAGAACTGCCGCGAAAAAAAGTCTATTGAAAAAACTCTATTGATTGATACGTTTCATCCGCAGGGTACTTGCCAACTTGTCAAGTTTGACATACATATCAATGAGACTTCGCCTCCCTATGTTATATTTAGTGTCAAAGCGATAAGTCCACCATCTGTCTGTACAAAGTATCCATCACACTCACTGTTTCGCGGAAACGATAGCAGTGAGGAAATATTGTAACATTTATATTATGCATGAGCTATCCAGGTCCTTGAACCATCCTCTATACCAAAGGGATGGAATCTTAGGTAAAATAAGTCAGAAACGAATTACCTGCACAAGGCTGGAGACAAAAGATTATTTATGACTAAAACCGTGAACGTTGAGTGGAATCAATATTATAGTGTCATGAAGAAATTATCGTCCTTATCCGGTCAATGGCCTTATCAGAAACCAATAACGAGATTGTTCTGTGTGATCCTGCTAACATTGAGTACTATTTCCATGATTATTCCTCAGGTAATCTCTCTCTCTCTCT